AAGATGTACCGACGACCTGTTTTAGGAAAACCGGTATATACTCGAGATAACTTTCAACGGTTGAACCAGCGCATCTCGGAGTAGCTTTCTCGCCAAGACTCTGTCATCTTCAGCGTTTGCTTCCTCCTCCTCCTCCTCCTCTTCCTCCTGCTCCTTTTCTTTCCCTTCCCTCATCCCTCCAACTCCTCCGTTTCACGGAGCGTACGTTGTCGAGAAAAGTTGGACTTCGAAGAGACTTTGCTACAATACCAACGCGCATGGCTGGTGATGAAACGTGACGATCTCTTCTTTCTTTGGTTGGCGACAGTTTCGCTGAAAATTCCGTCGTAAAAAACGTTAAAAACAGACAAGTGGCGAGAGGCTCGTCTCACTGAGCGACATTTAAAGTTCTAAAAGTGTACAGTGTTAAAGTGCGGAAGCAACGGTGAATCCGGATAGTGCAGCTTATGCGTCTCGTCGAATCGAGTTACTCTACAATTATAAAGAAATATTCTGAAAATCTCTATGTTGTCGCTGCCTTTCAATGCGGAGGATGTAAAAGTACAGCCAGTGGGCGATCATGATAAATGACGCGCCGACATTGAACGAGTAGATCGTTGCGAAAGTTTGCAAGTTTACATCGGGAAAAGTTTTATAATTTGCCATTTTATGTGTTGATTATTTTGGATAGAAATTAATAAAAGTATTCATAAAGGAGTAGGTGTAAGTCAGATGGAAACTTGTCAATTATATCATATTATCATTTTTTGTACGTATTGAAACAAAACGGAGGAATAATGTTTTATTTATTCTTCTAATTTGTTCATTTTTTATTTCGATAATTTTTCCTGTATTTATTAATCTATTATTTTTTTTTGCAAAATTTTATGTACGGATCGTACATACAAAGATATAATTACAATAAAATAATGTGGTTTTGGACTATTTTAAGAGATTTGAAGTATTAAACAAAATTAAAAAAGAATAAATCTTGAGCGTACTAGAAATAGTGCATTATAGAACATCCGTAATGTAAAATGCATTAGACTGTAGGTACTAAAGGCAACGTATTTTTGTATTTGTACAATGAATTTTTTAAAAAGGATTTATACTAGAAAAAGAATTAAAAACGATGCAAGCGATGCGATGTTGTCGTGAGAAAAATATTCGTTACGAATAAATTTAAAAAGCGGTGAATGAACTTGCGCGATTAAAAAACATTATCGCCGTCGCGCCGGTGCATCATCGATGCAACAATAATGCGCGATAAACGACAGGATGCTGCGGGACAGTGCGCTCTGTTTTCAAGTAGTGAAACGCAACGGCGATAAATGCAATTTCGATATTACATTCCTAGGATTAAATGACGAGCCGATCGATGAAATAAATTAGGAGAGTGATCGATGAGGCGTGTACTTTAGAAGCTTAAGAATTCAACTACGAATTAATTCTCTTCGAACAGAAATTATAATTTACGATTGAATGAAATATTTTCATTTATGATTCTCTCTTTTTATTTATCAGTTATCTTCTTTCCGTTACATGTAACATTTCTGATAATTAAAAAAAAATTAACGTTGCCAAGAATATGATTGAATAATTTTCATAATAGTTCATTATATTAAAAACTCATAATAGTTTCAGAAAACATTTAGTTAACATATATCTCAATTTTTTAAATAACTGTTTGAATTAGATAATTAATGCGCTCTCTCTTAATTTAAGAGAAAGGTAAAAGGATGGATCTTTGATACATTGTCTCCTCGTTGCTTTTACATATACAATATATTAACTTTCGAAAGATTGATCGTGTCGCAAATAACCGAGATACATGACGAGAGAGCTCGGAGTGGGTTGTACGTGCATCGTGCGAATGCAGTAGTAGGTAATGCGTTTCTCTCGCATCGTCTCACCTAAATTCGTATCTCCTCGAGACAGCGATCTCCGTGAAACGCAACGGCGTCTACTGGCTGATGCATCGCTGCATAGAGTAGCGAAGCGTTGTTTCACCAGCCGCTGCCTATTCGTGTTGCATTGATGGTGTTGCATTGCCGGTGCAACGATGCAGCATCGCCGCACACGTCGTCTCGTTGCATCGGTAATGTTGCTGAACAAGCAGTTTTAATCCGGATGTTTCGCTACGCTACTACTGCGTTCTACAGCAGTTCCGCATCCGAACTGTTAGTTGCAAAAGAACAATACTCTTTTCTCTTTTTTTTTTTCTCGCGATAGAATTGACTAGCTTCATAGAAACGGCGAGAAACGGACCAACAAGAGTTCTCGTTAGAGTCTCGCGCTCTACTCCACTTTGGCGCCCTTCTTTCTTCAGTAACGAGATCCTTTGCTTTTTTTTTTTATTGATTTTCTGCGACCTACCATAAAACTAATGACCGAAAACAAAATAGGGAATAATGAAAATGTGCTTTTATATCGTAGGAATTTTCGGAGCACGAAGTGGAACTTATTTTAATCTTTTTCCCTTTTGCTCCGAAATATTCGGAGCCCCGGTTGCTGTTAGCTTTCGCGACAAGCGACATAAATTCGGAGTACTCTACCTCGTTGGCTCGTGCTTTCACTACGTAGCGGTATCTTTTTAATACAACGCCACGATCCACAATTATCTCTTTCCTCTGTGGTTTCTTTTTTCTTCTTTTTGCTATTTCTTGTTCTCGCGCGAAGCCTTAGCGTTCGCCATCCCGCGGGAATTCAGCGGGATACTTGGTTTCATAAATTCACTCTGCGATCGCGAACGGTTTATGAACACGATACGCGCGAACGCCGACGATAATTTACAATGAACATTTTTCTCGAAGATGTAGTTTCTGTAGTTTCGTTTTTCGGAATTTTGCCATTTCTGCGCTTGCTTCGACGCAGCGCCGTTGCCTCCAATAAATTCGAGTTCAGCACGTGATTCCGTGCCTATAGTGATATCATGCATACTTTAGTGTTGCATGAACTAAAAGACGAAACGAACGAATGTGAAAGCGAATAGATCACGTAGCTCTCGATAGTCTATCCAAGTTCGCGTACATCGAAGGAAAAGCGACTAGACTATCGCGTTTCGAGACCCACAAATAATATTCTGGTTATCTGGACCTGTGCTTTTCTTATTTTTTTTCTTTTTTACTTTTTTTTGAGAATTGTCTTTACTTTTTTCAGTGTACTTCCGTAGCGAATTTCCACGAAGAAAGATTTCATTTGCGATGGTCGATCCACAACTTTATCGGCTTTACCTTCGTCTCGGGCGGATTCTCTTTTTAACTGTCGTTGTATTTCATGTTTTATTGCTCATTCGCCGATGTTTCCAATATCGACATTTAGCTGTCTCATTTTGCCCATGTATCTCTATCTATCTTCCTCCAGAGAAAGCTCGAAACAGGATGTATTTGTCATATTGTAATCATATAGCGCCCGCTGAGTACAAAATGGAGCAGAAACGAATTGATATGTACGAAGTACAATTTTAAATATCCTCGAAATACCATATACATAATTATCAGTTAAAAAATTATTCAAGAACTTTTCTTACTATCTATATTTAATATAACGAATTTCTATTTTATTGAAAATTTCGTTATTGGCTTTTTTCTTTATGAATATTTGATTTTAATTAATAATTATCGTATTTTTTGCACTATTTTAACAAGCGGAAATTAGTTTATATTTTTAATATAATGTAAATTTTTTACGTGGACCAAAATATATTTTGATAAAATACATCGTAGCGATTTTCGCTAACGAGGCTCCTTCTCGCTATCGAGTTTCGAGCTTTCACGGACGTCGTAAGCAAATTTCCTCTGATAAATGCATTACGATATGTACGTTTCCTCGTTTGTTCCGCGCCCATTTCTACTTCCCACCTGAAAGGGTCGCGGTAACAAGTCGCGATACCAAATCGCGTTCCCGCATCGCCGGTTCCGTTCGAGCGAATAATCAGGTATGAACCAAGCGGATGTCGACAAATAATATTAGCGGATCGAGTCGCATTGAGTATAGCGGGGTTATCTTTGTGTCGGCTTGATTTGATTTCGTGCGTAAATTGATGCGATACGAACTCGTAACTCGGATTCGTGTGTTATTGAACTGTTTGCAGAGAGAGAGAGAGAGAGAGAGAGACTGCGTTTATTTCAGTGCATCCAAGAAAGTGAATAATAAACGAAATAATTATGTGAATTCTCATTGCTTACAGCTGCAGTCTCACGGAAAACATAATTCCGGAATTATCTCATTGCGCATTTTGTCTTAGCAGGAATACACGCAAAGTTATTGCACGGCGGTAAATAAATGATATTCTAGCTTCGCGAAGAAATATTCCGCGATTAAGTTTTAAGTTGCGTTAAGTTTTCCAGCTGCGGAGGATTACCGGTGAAGTTTCTTTTAGCATTCATTCTCCTGTATTTTCAAGTTACGGCTTGATTGAAGCAAGGAAAACAACATTAATGGAGCATTGAATGAATTCTGTTGATCTTTAGATTAATGGACTCAATTATTGCGATCGATTTATGTTTAAGTGTCATTACTAGAACTGTCAGTATTATATTTTCACGAATTCGTTGGCCACGATTTAGTAGAATATTACTTAGATGCCATACAAACAAAGTTGAAGAAGTAAAGTTTTCCCTCTGCCTGGTCGCTGTGACTTGATTTGATTTCTTTTTTCTTACAAGCAACAATGACAAAAGAGATTTCTCCTAAACATATCTATATCGCTATATCATTAATTCGCAAAACGTTAACGATTGGATGTAGCCGACTTTCATGAATGTGACCATCATAAAATGTATTAAATAAAAATTATTCAACTTTTCTTATTATCTATATTTAATATATTGAATTTTTATTTTATTAATATTTTATTGGCTTTTTCTTTATGAACGTTTTATTTTAATTAATAATTATCGAAACATTTTGCGCTACAGGGAGAATAAATTCTCTTTTAGTAAAGAGGGAATGAACAAATATTCAATTGTATATTTAAAAAATTAGTAACCATTGATGTACAAACGTACAAAAGGTATTTTAACAGCGATAAAATCATTTCGAGTGCGAGTGAAATGATGAACGGTATTAATTAAACGAGATTGACTCGTCGCTCTCGCCGTGGATTAAAAGCCGGAGAAAGTGTTGTGATTTTAAATCGCGGCTGTGTCGCCTGCCTGCCCATGAATAACTACTGAGCGACGGACGAGCGGAAGTGGAAGCGTGATTGGACGGCGGAGCGCGCCCTGCAGTTCGGAGAGCATTCGCGAGCGAAGCGTGGGAACGTTTCTACTCCGGATAGTCCGGATGAGCCGACCTATGGTGGAGTTCAGAACAGAGGAATGCTCACCGGCAAGTTCTTCTCCCGAGTTCATGCTCTTTCTTTTTATTTTCTTTTAAATTTTCTCGTACCAATCGGTCAGATGGACTGTCGCTAGTTACGTTGAGAGCAACTAAATTTTTTCTGCGATACGTATTGAGTGTATCGATGAGGTACAATATATATAGATATACATATATATGTTCGGATTATAAATGGGAGACAATCGATCGCATGTTTGTATCGTTCTGATAAAAATCGTCGTTTTGTGCAAAATTTTAACTTAATTTTATTTAATTCTTAGAACTCATGATTAGGTTATTCTTATTTTTTACGAATTTCTTTTTCTTTGAAATACTAAGAAGTATTTAGCTAAATAATCTCAATCTTTTCCCTTTTTTAATGCACAATTTATAAATACTTTTTAAAAATGTTCAAATATATGTAAGAATTTCTTAATAATGTTTGTATAAAATATGATGAAAATTAATTCAGACACGAATGTTCGTGTGTAATAAATGATCTGAAGATCTTTATGTGCTTATCTGAAACGCAAAGTAAAATATTTTTGCAAGTACATAGCTAAGTGGCGTAATTGAGGATACAACCGTGAATATTATATGAAATCGTAACGACTTTTTAAAATAATAAAATTAATAATTAAATTGACAGAAAACTATTAATTTTATAGTACATTGTCCTGAAAGAAGGAATAGCAGTTTGATTATTTTATTTAATTTTATAAACATTAGCTTTTTTGGAAAAAAAAACTCATTCATAAATTATTTAAAGTTATTTTTTAGTAATAGAATTCTCTTTTTTTATCTCTCTCTTTCGGAACCTGTCATAACAACATTCCAAATTATGAAATAAATTTTAAAGCAAGTAAAACACCGTAAAAAGAGATGTTGCGATGATGAGACTTGCTTTGCTTGATGATCTCTATACTGTTAAAGTTATATTCGTACAATGTATAGCTATAATATTGCCTCCTAAAAAGAATAAAAGTTTGTGTATTTATCAAAGTTATAGTTAAAAAAAGCTATATAAACATAATATTTGAATAAATTCGGTGAAAATAAATATAACTTCAGCATTTTATGAAACTTTTTTTTATAGCCTCGAGCTTGCCGTATTTGTAGCCGGCGACATTTCCATTCGAGCGTTGACGCGAACCTGTTTCAATTTTGGTGCCAGTTCGCTGTTTCGATAAATGCAACAGCTGACTGCGATTGTAACAACTTCGACGTTCGGTCCCAATCTGTACGTCAGGCGATCGTAAAGTTACTCTTGACGTTTCGCACGAAGGCATAAGGCCGCGCTCATCCACGCCCGCGAAAACTAACGCATCTCTATTTGCATATTATTTTGACACGCAATAAATATTTATGAGAATTCACAGCTGTGCACCAAGCATACTCGTCGTCTATCCGCGTCGCACGCGCAACCAGCGTAAGATTGGCGTAATTTAGACGGGGCGCGATGTCGTATCTCAAGGGTATGGGATACGTTCGCCACGTGTTTGCAGGTTTCAAATCCCGCGGGAATAAAAGTAACACATATGCGCTGTATAGATAATTGCAATAATGACGAGAAACGGAGATGACGCTCAGCCACGATGCTCTGGTTCCTGCGCTATTAATGGATAATAAATATGTATGAGGACGTCGCTTATGTGTATCGATCAATTCAACCACATAATTGTGACCTGAAAGGTCTTGCTAAATATTACAATCGATCATTTAGATTATTGTAGATTACGTGGACAGTATGTGCTTTCCTATCTTAATAAAAAATTTCCTTTCGTTACTTTTTTTAAATATAAGAAGATAAAATAATGAGTTAAAAGCTGGAGTCATCTTAATAATTGAAGATAATGAATTGCAAAAAATACTTATTATTCTATAAATTAATGTATTATGCGAATGACTTTAAAATGTCAAAAATATATATTAGATAGCAGCAGCTTATTAAGATAATTACACTTTACTTTTGAATAATTTTTAGTGCAAAAAAAAGAACCATTTTTTTAAACGTGTTTTAGGGGGGCTGAATGTTATGAATTTAAATCTACCACCAGAAAAATTCTAATTTAAGTTGAAAAATTGAAATATAGCAATTTTTTTCGAATAACTTGATGCGACAGGTGATGAGCAAAGCAAACCTTTTCATTAGGATTTAATGATAATTGAAAAAACGTTATCAAGGGTATTTGGATGAAAATATGGTAAGCAAACTACTACTGGACTCTAATATGTGAAACTGATTTAAAATCGTAATAAAAAAACAAAAATTAAACGCTTAACTCTTCCAATTGGTTTTCCAATTTCAATAAAATTTTACTATATATTGAAAAACGTTATGTCTTTTTACATCTAAAAATTGGATGAAAATATTTTAGTAACAGATTCGGATTCAGCGTTGAAAATTATTCTAGAAGTCTTCATGCTCTTATAAATTCTTTGTAACCTTGAAAACCTTGTAAACTAGTTATTATATAACTAGTTATTATATAATTACATTAATATCTGGTTGTAAAATTAGTGCACGTATATTTGATTTGATTCTAATAATGATACGTTTCATTAAATGATCATATGGGTACAATGAAAACGCAAGCGATTCGAAAGAATTCGCCTCTCACTGTTCTCTATATAATTTACACGCTTTCAGCTTTATCCAGCGTTCTGTCAGGACTTACCCCTGTTCGGTCGAGTGGCAACGCAATAGACTTAAACTGATCACGAAAGAGCTGCGAGAAGACTTCTATGGAAAGCTTCGATAACGTCCGTTCTCCGTTCCTTCATGCGCGCCGTACTTTTATTCGACCTTGCATAGGATTTAATCGAATCGGAGACGGAGAGGCAGTCTTAAACGCACCTTCTCTCTCGTCGTTTATTCACCCGAATACCTTAAGACGGCTGCAGAGGTGTCTCTTTACGGCGAAATGGGAATGCGCAGCGAGACAAGTACCTTAAATGGCGCGTTGCGCTTTTGCTCGTTTCAATGCCGACCGTCGCAAGAATGCACGTCGCGCAATTAGGGTGTATCGCCTTTTTCACTCCTTTCAATCATTCGAGTAGAACGGTTCCAGCAATTCAGACATTATTCGCGCGATTGGCGTTCGACGTCTAAGATTGGTGCATTTAGAAACAAATTTATTTCTTTATAATGAAGAAGATATCGAAAGAAATCTCGTGCCTTTATTAACATTCGTGAAGAAACTATGTATTTTTTATTCATGATGTGATCATTGTTTAGTGTAGATTTTATCACTGATGTTAGCAAAAATTGTGATGTCTATTAAGCCATTTCAGCACGATCAAACGCGACCTAAACCACATTTTTTGCTATTTTTTTTTGCTAATTTTATTTGCTAATTTTGTTTATTCCTGATTTTTTGTTCCAGCCGATTCGCTAAAACCCATGGCTATGCTAGCTTAAGACTAAAGTTAGCACAGCTACAAAGAAAAAAAGCAGCAAATGAAAAATCAAGTACATATTCTAGAAGGCCTATTTTTTTGCTAATTTTTTGCTCACTGTTTAAGTCAAAAAATTACAAGAGTAAAGTACCTTAAAGCAATTAATTGCTGAGCTCATTTTGATCTCAAAATGTTTGTAGAATTAATTGCTCTAAGAATATCGCAAATCGGAATTTTTTGCTTACTGTTTAAATCGAAAAATTCGACCAAGAGTGTGACTGTTCTTAGAGCAATTAACTCTTGGTCGAATTTTTGGACTTAAACAGTGAGCAAAAAAATCGGGAATAGAGAAAAAATTAGCAAAAAAATAGCCCTTCAAGAATATGTACTTGATTTTTCATTTGCTGCTTTTTTTCTTTGTAGCTATGCTAACTTTAGTCTTAAGCTAGCACAGCTATGGGTTTTAGCGAATCGGCTGGAGCAAAAAAATTGGGAATAAAGCAAAAAATTAGTAAAAAATATTAGGTGTTGGAATTAATTCGTAGCGTTTTACAAGTGATGGGAAGTACTTTCATTAATGTATTTTTTAATGCTCATGTGAAATAAATAACATTCTTTCATTAAAAACGCTACGAATTAATTCCAACACCTAATAGCAAAAAAATGTGGACGCATTTGATTGTGCTGAAGTGGCTGTGCCAACTTAATAGAGTAAAATTGTGACCGTTTATCATAATCTGTGTTAGTTGTTACAAGTGAAGAAACTTATCTATTGGAATACTAATATTTTATATTAAATTTTCTTTTAGATATCAAATATTTTATATTAAATTTTGTGTATCTCAAATGTCTTTATTTTATCTATTCTAACTAATCAAATTAATGTAAGTTTTATTTAAAAAACTTTTTGCTATATTATAAAAATATTATACACAAAAATTTAATAATTTATAACATTTCTTTATACGTATGCATATATAATTCAGCTATCTCATCAGAGCTTAATATATAGAAATTTATTTCTTTTATCATGCAAAATGTGCATTTCTTATAGAAATATCTTATTAGTCACATTATTTTACTACGGAAGGCACTATAATACCACATTGTATTAAATATACGAATAATTTATTACTGTCAACTTTTAATTGATGTAAAATATGATGCTGTAGCACGCGACGGAATTACCTAGCTCAGCAATATGTCGGTTGCGATCGAGCTGCATACAGAGGCCGTCCTTCGATGCACGATCGTGTTGCATCTCCGCGTTGCATCGCGAGTGAGAACCCGGCGATGTGGTTAGACGGATGTTCCGTTTGAGAGCGATGCACTCTATTCTTGTCCGCCCAATAACCAGCCTTCCTACTATATAAGCCTTGGCAAGATACAGGGTGCTCTCCAACATATGTCCACCGCCTACACCGGAGTAATTCTCGTCGGCGTAAATATATCGCCCGACGCGATGCAATATCGCGGGTGCGGCTTTCATTTTAACGTCGCGAATTCTTCATAATGTGACTTCGTTATCAGTAACGTCGAAGCATATAGCGAAAAACGTTGCACCATCTTGCATATTTATATCGAAATGGAGGCTCCATCGCCAAAACGTT